ATTGCCTGATGCTGCTCCACTGAGCAAGATACCCATTCAGCATGGCCACTGCTCCACTTCCGCTGTTGCCCCCGCCAAGGGCGAAGGATGCGTCCGCACTGACGCTTAGTTCAAGCATCCGTGTCGCTTGGCTTGACCTTATGTCAAACACCACCTTGTGTTCGAGAGTCGCTGCCAAGTGCCGCAAACTCGATGGCTCCACTCAACCACTTTTCGTGGATGTGTTACCTGCGTAGAGAAATGCTGCATTGACGTCAAGATCTAAAAGACTGAAGCTGAGGATCATCGTCAGCGCAAGCCCACACCGTGTAAAGAATGCACCTCGAACTTCGGCGCGATTGCTGTTGCCACAGACTACAATCGGTGCATCCTGTTCATAGGGATTTTCAAAATCCGGGCTCTCAGGATTGGGTTTCTTGATTAGGATCAACCTCGCAGGCAGAGGTCTTGCCAGTCTAGAATCCCGGACTTTGCGAGACTCATATTCCTCCTGTGTGATCCTTTCAAACACTTCCATACCCTCCAAATTGGATAGCTCTCTCTAAATGTCCTCCATCCATCTGGATCGTTCCAGCTCAGTTGCCTGCTCAACTTCCCTGGGGTCTATCTACTCATACGTTGACCAACTCATCCGTTTCCAGGTTTTCGGTTACTGCTTCCATCCGATGCATCTCTGTTTCCGCCACTGGTTCTGGCAACCAGTACCGCTGAGCAACATGTTCGGCGATGTGACCGATTTTTGCCCAACCGGACCGGACAAGACCAGACAGAGAGACCGCCCATTTGTACAACTTTTTTTGTGTGTGTACACATATATGTATATATGCATACATATGGACACAGACTTACCGACTTCAGGTTATATATACGGGCGTCTGGGAGAAATTTCCCAATCTGATGTCTGCAAGCACATACTCCAGAGACCCCAGAGCAGGCGAGACGTTGTCGCGACCATAGATGTGCATCATCTCCTCTTGTGGGCCTCGTGGTAGCCCAAAATCCTCGTATGCAGTGCATCCACCCCGTACTTGGACAACCATGGTAATGTCGTGCATTTGCAGCTTTGGGTACCAAGCTTTGTGGCTTCAGGGAAACCTCGGGCAGTCAGGATGCCCCGCAGCCAGCCAGCAGCAACCGTCGCTGTAGGAGGCACAGGCGACCAGCCGCCCTCCTGCCCACGACTCGGCAAGAGAGGAAAATCCTCACCTTCGGGAGCGGAAAGGTCCTCGCGAAGACTCATCCACGCCTTGACCCACGGGACAGCAGCGACACCACAAAGAGGCCCAACCATCGGCAAGAGGGCCGTGTTTCTTTCCAACGAAAAACTGGTTTTCGTACGTTCGTTTCACGTTCCATCATTTTAGGATGTTCTGTCTTTCATGTTCGGACTCTCCTGGAGTAGTCCGTCTGCTTCCGTTTTTGCCGGCCGCAATGAGTTTGATCCAAGGCCCCTTTCGTTCGAGACTGAGGCCCAACAGTATGTGCTGTTGGGAACTACAATCTCTGCTCAACAAGTTATCGCCTGCCTCAAAGCATGGTCTTCTTTCACTCAAGCAAACACTTGCATGTTGCAGCGACAGCTCGCATTGCGAATGTGGCGACTTCATATGCATTTCCGAATAGTTCCGTCTTGCTTCCGCTTCGCTTCACAAACCATCATTTCCAGATATTCCATCACTTCCGGAACCATGTCCGGATTGCTCAGTCTTTTATGTTCACTCCTTTCTGGAAATTTCCGTCATTCATACTTCATCATTTCCGGATGTTCCGTCTTCCTCCCAGTTTGGCCGGCCGGGACGAGTTTGAGCCAGGCCTGTTTTCCTTAGGGACTGAAACCCAACGGTATGTGCGGTTGGGAATTTAGTCCTGAGTTCATCCTTTCCGGACTGTACCGTCGTTCTTCTGTTTTTTATGTTCAGCCATTTCCGGAAAATTCCGCCATTCGTAGTTCATCATTAGTTCATCATTTTCGATTTATTCCGACGTCTTTCCTTCTTTTATGTTCCGGTATTTCCGGAAATTTCCGTCATTCACATATCATCGATCACTATTTCATCATGTCCGGAGTATTCCGTGTTCCGTCGTTTTCCCGCCTTTTATGTTCCGTCACTTCCAGAAATTTCCGTCACTGACATCTCGTCAACATTTCACCATTTCCGCATTTTTCCGGCGTTAAGTTCCGTCACTTGCGGAAATTTCCGTCATTCATATTTCATCATTAGTTCATTTTTTCCTGATGATTCCGTCGTTTTCAGTCTTTTATGTTCCGTCATTTCCTGATATTTCCGTCATGCATATTTCATCATTATTTCATCATTGGTATGATTCCGTCGTTAGGCTCCGCCATTTCCGGAATATTCCGTCGTTCTTCTGTCTTTAACGGTTCGTCATGTCTGGAAACTTCCTTCATTCATATTTCATCACTAGTTCCTCATTTCCGGTTTATTCCGTCGTGCTTCCAGTGTTATGTTCCGTCATTTCCTGAAATTTCCGTCTTCTTTCATGAGTATTTCATTATTTCCGGAGTATTCCGTCGTTTTCAGTCTTTTATGTTCCGTCATTTCCTGAAATTGTCGTCAGTCATACTTCATCATGTTTTCGTCATTTCCGGACTATTCCGTCGTTTTCCGTCTTTTATGTTCCGTCACTTCCGGAAATTTTCGTCATTCACATTTCAGCATTATTCCATCATTTCCATATTATTCCGTCGTTAAGTTCCGCTATTTAAGGAAGTTTCATCGTTTCCGGATTATTCCGTCGTTTTCCGTCTATTATGTTCCGTCATTTCCGGAAATTTGCGTCATTCCCCTTTCATCATTATTTCATCATTTCCGTAGTATTCCGTCCTAAGTTCCGTCATTTTCAGAAATTTCGGTCATTCATATTTTCATCATTAGTTCCTCATTTCCGGATTATTCCGTCGTGCTTCCAGCGTTTATGCTCCGTCATTTCCGGATTATTCCGTCGTCCTGCCATTTTGGCCGTCCGCAGCCGATTTGATCCAGACCTCCCGTCCTTCATATTCCATCATTTCCGGATTATTCAGTCGTCGGCCGTCCGTAGCAACTTTGATCCAGGCGTCTTTTCTTTAGAGACAGAAACCCAACAGTATGTGCTGTTGGGGACAACCAGAGCTCAGGTACACCAACATGCCAGGACTCGCATAGAACGAAACAGACTTGGAGACAGCTTTTAGATAAACATGATGAAACCGAGAGGGCGAAAGTTACCGGAGCACGGCAACAACGACAGACGCACACGATGACGCATTAGATGTTTCGATCGAGACAGCGTAAACGATGCATGCATACTGAAGAGATCGTCGCTATTTGTTTCTACGTTGGGATCACTATTGTAAAAGTGTAAGAAAGATTCGAAAACTTACAGTCCACGTCCTCCAAAAAGCGATGCTCAGCTCAACGCACCAGATCGCAGGAGAAGAGCTCAAAGCTTTGTTAGAAGCTGAAGCACACAATGACGAGTTTCCAACTTTCGACACAATCGAAGCGGGAAACCTTGGCACTGCCTCTCCTAGGCATATGCACTTGGTGTATATGAAACAGGTGAACTGGGTAGGGGAGCAAGAGCAAAGTAAGCTTCACCCGTGACACTTTAACGCGGAATCCTGTTGTATTTCAGCACCACGGAACTAGTATCTGGCTCCTTCTTGAACGGAACCTTGGTACGGAACTCTAGCGCCCTTTTCCTTGATCCGTTGCTGCACAGCTGGGCGAGTAGTATCGCAGATCGTAAGGCTTCAGAACAGAGTTGCCAAGTAGAACACAAAACCTTCGTCCTCATGCTTCAATATGTGTTACAACATGTTACAACCACGTGCTGCGCAAGGGCACACAAGCGCCAAAGGCACCGCGAGCCACGCGAAAACTGTGAAAAACCTTGCCTCCTTTAAGAGGACACCAGCAGCAACGAGAACCCATTGCACTGTCACACATAGGATTGATGGAAAGTGCTCGGTGGTCCATGCGTGACTTGCACGGGCCTCGGTGCACGTTCGAAAGACGCTGCACAGGGTCGGAACTGATATTTGAGGAAGCTCGATTCCACAAGGAACGGTGAAACTTGGAAAGATGCATGGAACCAGCCAAGCAGATGTGAGCTGTGACGATAGAGACGAGAGCGGCAGAAGCCATGTCATCGCGGATATGCAGGGTTAGGCAACCGTCGAAGTCGTTACTTTGCAAAGGGGTGGGAGGGGGGGGTTCAGCCTGTGGCCTCTTCTCCTTCGTGAGCTGTATACACTGCAGCTGTATACACTTGCATGAGGGGAGGGCGGCGTTGAAACACCGCCGCACCTTGTTTCTTCCACTGAAATGCTGGAACTCAGGGTTTGGTGTAATGGTGTAGAGGCTTCGGTATGCTTAGGTTCAAGTTTACGATATTCATGCTTGGGCGTTCAGCATGCAGGTTTGGTGCTAACGTTTTGAGGTTCGTGGCTTCAGATTTAAAACCTTGCGCGTAGGCTGTGCGGCTGAGCTTAGGGCTGTGGGCTCTTGGAGTTTGGGGCTTAAGAATACGCTGGCGGCAGTGCACTAGAAACCTGTCAGCCCTGCAGGTACGCAAAAATCACATCGCTTCTGGCCCACGAGTAAGAGCTTCCCTTGTCGATGCACTGGCGGTCCTGCCGCCAGCGCAAGAGACGGCCGAACATGTCAGCGGCTGCTGACGGACTATCTGAAGCCGTCAGCAGCTGGCTTCGTCTGCCAGGAAGTAAGCAGCATCAGCATGCTGAGGCGGGAAAAGCCGTCTTACAGCGGCAGAGTCTGCACAAAAAGTTGTTCAAACACTCTCAATTTATGGTTTGCGGAGCAGTCGCATGGCCACACGCACAAAAGCTGGAAATTGCGTGGTGTTCAGATGCACGATCTCACTCAATTCAAAAGCCGTGGCCCCAAGCACCCTCATGTCTCTGTAGTCTGCTTCCCCAAGTGAGAAGGAGGTGAGCCGGTGGGGCTACATGAAGCTATGCATCGTTGGAAAGATTACCGACTCCCGGACATGGACATGAGACGATGCCACTCCCGTATTTGATTTAGCCGCTGCCACTCACGCAGTTGGTCAGCATCCTGCGAGTCGGGATTTCTTCAAACTGTCAGTAGCACACAACGTGGGAGCAGGGCGTTTCAAGCACTGATTACGGATTTCGGTCCTGCATCACTGCATCACACTTCCCAACTTGCCCAAACCCTTTTACTTAGTTGTATATACTTATGTATAACTACAAGCATCACGTCGCATGGCAACCCTGCCCTGCCAATGTGAAACACTCGACGAGACAGAGTGTTGGTCAAGGTCCTAGAACTGCATGTGAAGCTGTGTTCTTGTGGAAGCTCTCGGGATGTGGCTGGGCTCTGTAGAACGCCTTGCTTGTCGACAAGAAGGTCTGATTTGTCGATGGTGTAAACAGAGTTTGCTCGCTATGGGCAGCAAGTCGGGCATGGTTCCCAATGAGCACACCCTTACAGCCTGCGGCACAGATGCAACAGCCGGCCGAATAGTCTGCAGCTCCTGAACACGACAAACTCGCATGGGCTTCTGCACCATCTGCTGGGGTTAGCTCGGTGCTACATGACTAGCAACGACTAGCATGGTGGGTGGTTGACGGTCGGGTAACAGGGTCGCGGGGCCTGACTTGAGCTGAATCCGTTAGCAAACACGCAGAGACTGCAAATGCCACAAACTCGGCGGCCTGTACTGATGGCTGCAGGGACGGCTGCCTGATCCACGCTCGTAGAATGCAAAGCGCTGCAGTGCCATGCCGCTGGCTGTGCTATTGCGCTACAGCGAATGGAATCACATGGAATCACCTAAACTCCAAAACAAGCAGTCACGCGTCGTCGAAGGGGCCTTGCTCTACACTCATATGAGCTAGGAACACGGTGTGACATGACCTCCTTCGCACACAAACTTGCTTCGCGCAGACAGGCTGCGAGGAGGCTTCCCTGAACGTCTTTCGCGGCGTCTTCCGGGGGGTCTCCGAAGGAAGCCGCCCGTGCTTTGACTGGGCATGCTTCCTGAAGTGGCAATATGCTATTTGCATCTTCGAGAACAGGGCGTCTCAGGGCAACTCTGTATCTGTAAACCTGATGGTTTGTTGGTCTTCTCGTCTCTTCCCGCAAACGCAACACTCCGAGTCACGTCGTTTGCTTAGTGTGCCGCCCGCCGAGTGTCTCCAGGTCTTCCCAGGCGCCTCTGATCTGCACCACGAAATCCTTAGATCTCCTCCTAGAAGTAGGGCTCGTGGAAGTTTGGCGAAAGCTTGGAAAACCAGAGTGTAGCGTTCTGCTCATGATTTCGAGGCGGACAGCTATAGAAGCTTCTAATTACACTGAAGTCATGAAACATGACTGCAGCATACTGCAGCGCAGACCAGGGGGTGCTTGTGCTTGTGGATAGATCAACCCGGACGAGTTCCGCATTCCGAACAATATAACAACGTGGTCGCAATCACAGGGTGTTGTTGCGCAAGGACGAAGATATCGTCGGTGCTTGTCTGCAGCGTCTGAACTTTCGCGTCTGATTGAGAACCCGGGACTGCAACTTTCGTGACCTTGGGTTCGCATGGCTACTTCTGTAAGAAAATCCAAAATCAACTGCCTTCGTCTTCAGAACATATTATGGATTCGATCTACGTCTTATCCCGCGTTCGCCGGCGTTCTGCGTTTGTGCGTTTGCGTCCTTGGCTTGCTTTGCGGCGCTGTCAGGCTTTCTCCATGTGGCAAAAGCGTCCCCGCACTCCTCAGCCCTTGCTCATTGCTCATGACATTCCGAACCAGCAGCAAGATCGCTTCCACATGAAAGCAGCCACTGCGCTAGCTCCCATGCTGTCAAGCCGAGACGCACTCAGCGATTCCAGCAGTCGGGCGACATTTGTGCGCAAATCTTTCCTGACAGGAAGCTGCAGGACTGGAAGAGCCTGTGGGACTGATACAGCTGCAGGCAACAGCAATGAGCAAGACTTGCTTCACAACCTCAGCGAATCTAAGTGCCTCTCGGCTTTAGTGGAGAAGCAACAGAAAAGAAAGAAATGAGCTCACTGGGAATGAAACCGATCATGCGGTAGCTGACTCGTGCCTGCACCACTCCGCGGCATCAATGCCGAAGTAGCAATGGAGCTCCTCAGAGACCAAAGCCACGGCCGGATGCACTGCGTCAGAGAGCTGCTACGAGCTGCTACTTGCAGATGGGCAGCCTGGCAATCCACCTCCGTTGCTTCTAGCGCCTCCACGTAACGCTGCAACGCTGGTAGAACGAGTTGCAGAGTTTGGTACATCAAGGAAGTCATGGACACTTGGATTCCTGCTTTCAAGTCATGTGGAGCAGCGCCACAACACGTCTCCGTCTCAGCGTCTTCCATGTCTTCGGGCCTGGTCGAAGCGTCGAAGCTGCCGTGCCAGGGCGATCTCAAGCTCTGGAAGCGTGGAGACGGTCGCAATCGCGGTCTCGGTGTCTCCTGAAGCGGGCTCTGAGGCGGGATTCTCACAAGAATTCTAGAAGGAGGTTGCCTTCCACAAGATTAAGTCCGAGCGACTGTTTCGAGCAAGCATGGCATTGCTTGAACCGATCGACTCCTGCAAGGGCTGCAACACACGCGAGCTCTCAAACGAACAGCAGACGGAAGCCCCGTGAGGAAAAGATGCGGCGACACTGCGCTTGACCGAGCATGGATCTGGCCTGCACTGTTGCACATCCAATGATTCACAGTTCGGCCATCTCTCATGCAAAAGAGCTTCCGTCTCACAGCTTGTCTCCGCTTCCGAATCCGAGCACGTCCTCGGAACAGCTGACATGACCGAACGGTGCGGGCAAGCAATGGCGAGAGCATCTGCAAGCCCCCCTGCAAGTAGAGACCGGGAGGTAGAGAGGAGGCTGCACGCTCTACGGAGAAGCACTTCTGTGGCAGACTCAGTGGTTCGCCCACAAACGGTGCCGACCGGACGCATAACGACTCACAACATGGCCACCTTAACTCTTGCAGAGTTACGTGTCGCTGCCCCCGGCTCCGCCGGCCTCGGAAGGGAAAGGCGAGCAATGACGACAGCTTTGCTGAATTGACTGATGTCGAATAGAGGACAAATCACAGCTGCAGTGTGCAAACTCGAAATCTCCGGATGACGCATCGCGCAGAAAGCCCATCCCAAAGCCTCGTAGCCAAGTGCTTTCCTCAATCGTTCCGCACCCATGCGCCGGCCAGATGCAGGGCCGAAGGCCTCAATTGGCTCTCCCAGGGTCCAATGACATTGCCGTGTCTGGTGCGCCTGCTCCAAGCTTGTGGAGTCCATCCGCAACAGGCTTGGTTGGGCTGCAGATCGCGCCTCAGGGCTACTCATGGCAACTGACTAGACATGCAAATCACTTTCCAGAAGATAGGCAACCGATAGCGACTTGCTCTACCCTGCCCCTTGAGACAAGACTGCCGACTGAATGATTGGTAAAAACGAAGCAAGACCCGGGAGCTCGAGTACATTTGACGCGGCTTGCTGCACCCCTGCCACAGTCTCCACTCTGTGGCAACAATCGATGTCGAATTGGGAGCAGACTTTGTCCAAGGCTGCACGGAAATTTCTGTGCGCTGACCGTGCAGTATAGGCACCACATAAACTAGAGACCAGCCGGAGAAACTGGAAGACATGGCGAGTGCCTCCTCGGGTATCTTTGCAGGCAGCTCCGGTACCGAGCGCCCTCCAACGGCCTGGCAGAGAGAACCCTTGCACTGCCTTGGATTTCGGCGGTGCCCGAAGAACTCCAATGGCTATTGCCATGGGGGCGCTTTTGAACATGTGATGCAGCAAGCCAACTTACTGATACCTACATGGACAGGATCGAAAGGCATACTTGCTAAACTGCGTAGCCTTTTGCGTTGAGATTCCGCGCCTGTCTGATGTGCACTTGAGGGCGGAGTAGGTTTTTTTCCTAACGCTGGCGGTCCCCGGTGTCATTAGCTAACGTTGGCTCTTCTTTTGGTTACAAATACTGTAAGTTGCAGCACTTGCTACTGTTTTGCATCAAGCTATTGGGGAATTACAATTAGCAGGGTGGCGTTTGCCGCAAGCTATTCAGAATTGCAATTAGCAGGGTGCGTTTTGCCGGCTTTGCCGCAAGCTATTGGGGAATTGCAATTAGCAGGGCAGCATCTGGCCGCAAGCTATTGGGGAATTGCAATTCATTAGCGTTTTGCCGCAAACTATGGGGAATTGCAATTTGCAGGGTGGAGTTTTGCCGCAAGCTACTGGGGGATTGCAATTTCGAGACTCCGATTTGCGGGGTTTTGTTTTGCGTCAAACTTTCGGGAAATCCAATTTGTGGCTGTTGGTTGCTTACAATTTGCACAGGCGTTTCCGGTTCATCATGTTTCCTAAACACGCCCACTCACATGGCGACTCCGCTTCATGATATATCGTAAACACGCAGCTTGCTTTGGCGATTCCGGTTCTTCATACAGCTTAAACATGCCCCCTCATGTGGCGATTCCGGTTCATCATATATCTTAAACACGCCCGCTCATTTGGCGGTCTAGGATCATCACATATCACATATCCTTAACCCGACCCCTCAGCATATATCTCCAAACCGATTCTGCACAATTTGCTAAACCCGCCCCCGCCTTTTCCCCACAGCCCGCGGCGCGGCTAAAAAAAGAGACCGGGTGGTGGGGGTGAAACACTGAATGTTACACATCCAGGTGCCTGTCCGTTTCACGTATCACTTGCATGTATCCATGCCTGTTGCTCAAGGTTCTAGTGCAGTGGACTACAGCTGTGCGCCTGTAGCAAAAGAGACACCTGAGTGCCTGTGTTCCTGTACGCCTAGCGAGGGGATACACGTCCAGGTTACATCTCAACGTGGTAACGGAGCTCCCGGGAAACGGGAAGCTTCACACTTGTGGAGGTACCCGTTCGGTACACTCTACACAGGTGGAGGCAACCGGAATACCCGGTCTGCTTCACTCAGGTGAAGGTAGCCGGAGTCTCTCCGGCACACTTCACACAGGTGAAGATAACCGGAAGAGTTTTCTCCCGGGGCTCGATCCAAGAACAGCGCGATGGCTAGCCACTCTGCGACTATCTTTGAGCATGATGGAGGAGATGAAGACTACCTCCTTCAAGGCAATGAATCTTACGCGACGAATCATCGTCATCTCAATGAACTACACCGTCTTTCAGCTTTCCACCAGGTGACCACCAAAGTACCTCCATCTTATGATGGTAGAAGCAGTTGGTTTGCCTATGAAGATGCGATCGATGACTGGTGTGACATTACTGAGCTAGACAATGACAAGCGTGGACCAGCTTTGAGAAATCGGTTAGAAGGTGAAGCAGCAATCCACAAAAGGCTTCTCGACAGAGATCGCCTGAAGGACCCGAACAACGGAGTTAAGTACTTCAAGAGCTTCCTGCGGCCGCTCTTCGTGAAGGGAGCAGCGAATGTCTTTCTCTACCGCTTCCAGCAGTTCATGAACATGCACCGTGGGAACGGAGACATGCTTCGTTGGATTACCAGGTTTCAACTCTCTGTTCCGAGAATGGAAGAAGCGTGGAACGACACCTATCTGCCGATTGAGGATCCGAACAATGCAGAGGTCAGAGCTTTCATAGTAGGGCTTCCTCAAGAAGAACAGGCAGATATTACACCAGCTCAGGCATTGGAGAGAGCCAACGATCGGCTCAGAGAGCAGCATGCTCGGACTATTCCGATCACAGCCAACCTGGTCGCCTTGATCTTTGTGTCCCTGTCTGATTTGACACAGGATCAACGGCAGGTGCTGACATCACTGATGGCACATCGGAACCGAGTCTTAGCTGACTACACCACGACCGAGCTGCGTGAAGTCTACCTGGAGATCTTCTGCACGACCAAGACTACCGTCGACAACCCACTTCTCGCTCCTTCGGGCCACGGTGGCCGGAAGACGTTCCTTGTGATCGATGAAAGATTTCTTGACAATCATGAAGGCTACTGGGTCGAGGACGAGGAGGATGGCACGGAAGGTTTCCTCGAAGCGGATGAGGACGCCTTCTGGGTCTACGACGACGAGAACTACTCATGGTTCCAGCGGCGTTTCCAAGGCCGCAAGATGAAGCGCGGATTCAAAGGCCACCGCAAAGGCAAAGGAAAGGGTGGCAAAGGATCGAAGGGAAGGCGCTTCTTCAAAAGGAAGAAAGGCAGGTCTCATCTTGCCGAAGAATCAGAAGCATGGCAAGCAGAAGGACAGTGGCAAGATTACCAGTGGAACGATCAGTCCTGGGATGACTGGTCCCGGTACGAGTCTGAGGAATCCTACGCAGCCAAAGGAAAAGGTAAGAAAGGAAAGAAGGGCAAAGGAAAGAGCAAGTTTGGCAAGGATGGAAAAGATGGAAAGTCCGGAAAGGATGGACAGAGCCAGCTTGCTGATGCTGCCCCGAGCGGCACCACAGCCGCCACGACCTTCTTTGTTGAACATCTCAACACTCCGAACTTTTCTTTCATGGCCACCGAAGATAAGATCAATGAGATCGAGGAAGCCTTCATCTCTCAGCCCTTGACGCCAACCGCGATGGTGTTGGACTTGGGATGTACGAGAGCAATGGCTTCGACAGTGGCCGCACAGGACCTCATGGAGTTCTGTGACAAGAATCAGAACTGCGGCATATGGTACACCATTGCTGAGACCACTTCTCAGTTCACCTTTGCCAATTCCGAGTCGACAAAATGCAACCAGAAGTTGGTCATTTGCATGTACGACCGGGACTTTGCAGTTCAATCCACAGAGTTCGACATTGTGGAACAAGGGCATGTTCCCATTCTCATGTCCTTACCTCAGATGCGCAATCTTCGTTTCCAGTTCGAGCTCCATCCGGAAAAGGCCTTGCTCAGCAGCCCTGTGCTGGGAATCAAGGATGTGAGGCTGAAGGTTGCACCGAGCTCACACCTGGTACTTGACCTTCTTGAACTCAGTCAGTTAATGTGGAATGTGCGTTTCAGCAAGCATAAGAAGTCGAGCTTCCTCACCTACTTCTCCCACTATGAGTACGGCTTCCATCAGAAGACCGAGGGATGCTCTTCTCATGAAGAGGTACCCAAGAACTTCGCCTTGGCGACGGATGATGAGTGGGTGATCAATGAAGCCGACATGGAGATGATTCGCATCCACAAGAAGATGAGAAGGGTCAAGTACGAACCCAAGGCGGGTTTTGTGCCAATTCCGTTGGAGTATCTGGACACCAAGCGCAAGACGATCATGGAGTTCTCCAAGGGAAAGAGCGTTACTCAAGAAGATGACTGGCGTTCTTCTGAGCCTTCTTCAACAAGAACCGCTGACTCTTGGAAAGGCAAGACCATTTTCAAGATTCTGCCTGGTGGCATCGAGAGTAGAACCTCGGTGCCTGCTAAGACCAAGGATCCAACCCGTGGCAAGGTAGGATCCCCAGAGGATATGGTACAGCTCGAAGAACACAGGAGCGTCCGGAAGCTTTCCTCAGGGAAAGGTACCGGAGAGAAGGAGAATCAGCCAAGGGAAGCTTTCCACAGGGAAAGGAACCCAAGGAACCGGCTCCTCCTCCTCTTGCTCCTGAGGATGATCCGGATCTTCAAGAGTACGAACCGTCCGAACCGGGGGGTGCAGATTTGCTTCCTCCGAGGGCCCCAGAGGCACAGTCGCTAGAACCTAGGAGGATCGCGCTTCCATTGCCAGGCCACGAGGTCTCAAGGGCTTCTCCGCAGTATCAGCGCATGTTGGAAAAGCTGAACAATGATGTTGAGCTTTACAAGTTGCATGTGAAGCATTACCACATGAGTCCTGCTCAGTTTCGACGCAGGACCAGCATGCTTGGGCTGCCAGGAGAGATCTATGACAAGTACGACCGCATTGTCAAAGGCTGTCGTGTTTGCAGCACCTCCGTGCCTACGCCTCCGCGAGCCAGAATCGCAGGGTTGAGAGCATCATCCTTCGGTGATCTCATTTTTGTTGATCACGAAGAGATTAAGTTTGGTACCAAAGCCTATCTATCTGGCCTTGGTTATCATTGATGGTGCTTCAAATCTTCTGTGGGCTACGGCTCTCACAAGCCTGGAAGCGCCAGAGACTCTGGGAGCGTTCCGACAATGGACAGAGGAGAACAACTGCGTTCCTAAGGGAATCGTAGGAGATCAAGCATTTTTCACGCCACAGTTCATGTCCTATTACAAGTTCCATGGCATTACTCCGTATCCATGTGGACCGCGAACTCCTTGGCCTAATCGAGCTGAGACCGTGGTGCGTCTTTTCAAGCGCACGTGGGCCATCATGGCAAAGGCTTTGGCCGAT